GCGATTTGGTCACAGCTAATCACATGACATGTGCATGTGATTAGCTGTGACCATTCACAGCTAGGCACTAGTATACAATGGATGGCATGAATGAAGCATACAACTGTCATGTGACCTGCTGTGATTGGTCACAGCAGGTCACATGGCACCAGCAACGGGGTCGGTACTCAGATCTGTCATTGGCCGTGTCCGAGGTACACGGCCGGTGACAGATCGCGCCGCTGCGCGGCTCTGCATTAGCGCAAACTGCGCATGTGCGGGAGCACGCCAAATGGTGTCCACCCGGAATGCCGAAGCACTTTTGAAGCCGCCAAACGGCCATTGGCTGGGCGGCTAATGGTTAAGGCCAAGTTAACCTTTTTGAAAAAAAAATAAAAAAACGCATATATATTTGTAGGAAAAACATGAATTATTTTTTTCAGGGGAGCCTGCAGAGCATTGCACCTGTGATCAGTAGATCACAAGTAGGAATGCACCAAACTTTCAGCCACCGAAACATATCGGCCGAAAATAGCCCTACCACCATTTTGCCGATCAGAAAAATTTAGCAGACACAGGAGACTGTGTGTACCGCAGATGTGAAGGGGGCGGCTGAGAAAGGCAGGAGCGAAGCAGTGTATACAGTGACTGGCTGTCACTATATATCAGTACCAGATATATAGATATATCTATCTATATACACACACACACATACACACACACAGTGCGGTATCCTGCCATGGTGGAAATCATGATGGAGACCCAGGATTCTCTACCATACAGGTTGAGGGGCTCCAAGCAGTTCTCATAATGCAGAGGAAACTTGTTTGTTGGTTTCCTCTTTGGTTGGTAAAGCCTGTTTTGGGACCTGTAGCCTGGAGATTTCTAAGAGATTTGGGAGGGATGAAAATCGCCACTCCTGGGCCCATGTTTTGAGAGCAGCCAGCGTGCCGATTGCACAGGTGTGCGCAGGCCTTTTTGTGGAGGCCAGGCCATGATTCTGGGCTCCACCCCGGCAGACGGAGTCCGGAGGGCTCCACCCCGGCAGACGGAGTCCGGAGGGCTCCACCCCGGCAGACGGAGTCCGGAGGGCTCCACCCCGGCAGACGGAGTCCGGAGGGCTCCACCCCAGACGGAGACGGAGGGCTCCACCCCGGCAGACGGAGGGCAGACGGAGTCAGGAGGGCTCCACCCCGGCAGACGGAGTCCGGAGGGCTCCACCCCGGCAGACGGAGTCAGGAGTCCACCCCGGCAGGAGAGGGCTCCACCCCGGCAGACGGAGTCAGGAGGGCTCCACCCCGGCAGACGGAGTCAGGAGGGCTCCACCCCGGCAGACGGAGTCAGGAGGGCTCCACCTTGGCAGACGGGAGGTCTCTGCCTTGGAGTCAGGTGGGCTTCACCAAGGAAGGAGAGGTGGAAGCCAGAGTAGCTGTGTGCTAATGGCCAGCTGTGTGTGAGGGCCATATTTTGGAAAGAGTCTGTAGGAGACAGACATCAAACCGAGTACAAGCCAGGAGGCTGAATTTTCATTTGCATGTGTTTGTTGGTGGATACCCCTGCGTGGGAAGATTTATGGAACTTTTTCTTTTAAATAAAATTGGGCAAAAAGGCCCTTAAAAAGAAGAATAAGAGAGTTGCTGTGTGCTTTAAAAAGAAAAGCTCTACCACTTTGAAGCGAGTTCCCACAAATATATATATCGGGTTTTTTTCTTCACTATATAGCTTGCAGAATTAGCTGTCACTCCCCCCCCGCTAAAAGAAACAAACTGTTTCCTTTTAGTTTCTTTCCCAGAGTTAAGAGAAACAAAGTTTCCTTATAGTTGAACTTAAGTCTTTGAAAGTACAACTATAACCAAAACCTTTTATTTTGTGTTTGGATACAGCAGGGACGGGTTAGAGCTTGTCAAGTCTCTATTGCCAACCAGGGAGATTTACCTCTTTCCCGCCGAGACAAGAAATGGTGAGAAGGATCTCAAATGGCTGAGAAATTGTTAAAACTCCTATCAACTTTTTTTTTTCACTATTTATGGTTATGCCTTCCTGTCCCTCCACCAAATTGTATGTTTGTTCACGGTTTTGTGCAATTGTGTACCTTATATTTCATTAGTAATAATTTTTACATTCTATTGAACTGTCAGTTTAAATTAGCCAACTACCTTCCAAGTGCATCAAAATAGAGTGTGCAGTGTCCTACAATTTACATATATATTGTACATTCACATCAGTCCCCGCCCCCGAGGAGCGTACAATCTAAGGTCCCTAACTCATATTTATACATACACATATTAGGGCCAATTTAGACAGGATCCAATTAACCTACCAGCATGTCTTTGGAGTGTGGGAGGAAACCAAAGTACCCGGAGGAAACCCATGCAGGCACAGGGAGAACATGCAAACTCTAGGCAGGTGGTGCCGGGGTTGGGATTCGAACCAATGACCCTAGTACTGCCAGGCGGAAGTGCTAACCATTTAGCCACTGTGCTGCCATGGTGTGCAGTTCCTTAGACACACAGCTTGGGAGGGAGCAGGCTTGATATAGGGACACACAGAGAAGAGGAGGAGCAAAAATTGCTGGTGGGGGACCCAAGAAGAGGAGGATCAGAGCCGTTCTGTGCAATACCATTGCAAAAAGCGAGTGAGAATAACATATTTGTTATGTTCATTTTTTTTAGTAACACTTTAAACATAAGTAATTCAAACTCAGAATACAATAAATATGGTCCAGTATTAGAGGATCTTTGATATCCAGTAAGTTTTATTGATACAACATACTATACAGTACAGTAGTCATCTCAAAAGCACCTTAACACTTTGCAAACATCTGTGCTTACTCATAAGGTAGGGCAGCCCACAGTCTGAAAGGGTTCCGGAGAAGCAATCGGTAGGGGCTACCCCCTGCAGCAGCAGGTTGTATTATTTAAATTAAGCAATGGCCACATTATTAGAAAGTCCACTGAACCATATTGGAGTAGAAAAAAAAACAAAAAACAATACACTAATCTATAAGAGATAAACAACCACTAGTACTGAAGTGGGTATTAATATTTCAATATTTAGCAGGGTGGATAAAAATCAATGATTTTTTAAAAAAAAATTAAAAAAAAAATCTGATTTTTTTTTAATTAAAAATCGGATTTTTTTTATTTAAATCAGATTTTTTTTGATTTATTTAAATTGGATTTTTTGGATTTAAATTGGATTTTTTGGATTTAAATTGGATTTTTTGGATTTAAATCGGATTTTTTTGGATTTAAATCGGATTTTTTTGGATTTAAATCGGATTTTTTTGGATTTAAATCGGATTTTTTTGGATTTAAATCGGATTTTTGGATTTAAATCGGATTTTTTTGGATTTAAATCGGATTTTTTGGATTTAAATCGGATTTTTTTTTTATTTAAACCGGATTTTTTTATTTAAAACCGGATTTTTTTTTTGATTTAAATCGGATTTTTTTGATTTAAATCAGATTTTTTTTTAAATAAAATGCTTTTTGAGGAAAATTTATTACCATCCAAAGGTTATTCCATCATGAAATAAAGATTAGTTTTTTAATTATGTAGAATAAGGCTGTATATGTTTAATTTTTTTGGTAAATAAATTCCATGAATCCATTCACAATGTCGCTCTCCAGAGGTTTCTGTAAGATTATTGGGCAGTTTCTCTGCCTACAAGATATTATCACAGATGATTGGTTTACTTTTGCAGTTCTCAAAACTGAATTTGACTCAGCGGAGATCACATGCCTCTCTTCACAGCAAAAATGTTATAACATGAACAGAGTTAAGAACAAGACCTTCATCCTAACTTCTACACACCTATGAATACAGAATCAGCCCCTTCAGTGCGAAGTTTCAAGAAGTTCAGTGAATAGAATAGAAACAATATTTTTCTGATTGTTTGGAGTGGAATAGATCTGCACAAGAAGAAAGTGAAACTAAGTGTGAGGAGGGAGGGGCCGACAGAGGGAGGGGCCGACAGTGCGAGGGGCCGACAGTGCGAGGAGGGAGGGGCCGACAGTGCGAGGAGGGAGGGGGCCGACAGTGCGAGGAGGGAGGGGGCCGACAGTGCGAGGAGGGAGGGGGCCGACAGTGCGAGGAGGGAGGGGGCCGACAGTGCGAGGAGGGAGGGGGCCGACAGTGCGAGGAGGGAGGGGGCCGACAGTGCGAGGAGGGAGGGGGCCGACAGTGCGAGGAGGGAGGGGGCCGACAGTGCGAGGAGGGAGGGGCCGACAGTGCGAGGAGGGAGGGGCTGACAGTGCGAGGAGGGAGGGGCCGACAGTCTAAGTTTCTTCAAATATATATATTTTGTTTAGCCAAATTAGTTACCAAACATGGATGTTTAAGCAAATCACATATGCTGGAATGTTATTGTTTCAGATGAATAAATCTATTTAAATTGTTATTATTAACCCCTTGCCTACCCGGCACTTATACCCCCTTCCTTACCAGGCCAATTTTCAGCTTTCAGCACTGCCGCACTTTGATTGACAATTGCGCGGTCATGCAACATTGTACCCATATGAAATTTTGATCATTTTTTTCTCACAAATAGAGCTTTCTTTTGGTGGTATTTAATCGCCACTGGGCGCTTTACTTTTTGCGCTATAAATAAAAAATTGCCAAAAATTTGAAAAAAAAAAAAAGTTTCTTTGTTTCTAGTATAAAATTTTTCAAACAGGTAATTTTTTTCCTTCACTGATGTGCGTTGATGAGGCAGCACTGATAGGGGCACCGATAGGCGGCACTGATGGGCACTGATAGGCAGCAGTAAAGGGGCACTGATAGGCAGCACTAATGAGGTGTCACGGATAGGCGGCACTAATATGCGGCACTGATAGGCAGCACTGATAGGCGGCACTGATAGGCGACACTGATGATGGGTACTGATAGACGGCACTGACTGGCATCACTGCTGGGCACTGACTGGCACAACTGCTGGGCACTGACTGGCAGCACTGCTGGGCACTGACTGGCAGCACTGCTGGGCTGCACTGGTGGGTGGGCACAGGTGGGTGGCACTGGTGGGCACAGGTGGGTGGCACTGCTGGGCACAGGTAGGTGCACTTCTGGGGCACAGGTGTGTGACATTGCAGAGTGGCACAGGTGGGTGCATTGCTGGGCACAGGTGGGTGGAGCTAGTGGGCACACTGCTGGGCACCGATCATCAGGGCACTGATCATCAGTGCCCTGATGATTGGTGCCGATCCCCGCTCTGACAACTGCCGGTTCTCGGCAGTACTTTCCTCACGATCTGACAGCGTGAGGAAAGTGCAGCCGAGAACCGGCACTTGCATTTCCCTCTGATCAGCGTGTCATTGGACACCGCTGATCAGGTGGTAAAAGGCCGCTGTCCACTCAGAACTGGCAGGCCGCAGTGCAGCCGTCATTCGGCTATCTGCGGTCGGCAACAAGTTAAGGTAATGATTATTTTTCTCCTTCCTAAGTACAACAGAAAAGTTGTCCAAATATGAATGATTAACCTATTAAACTGGGGATAAAAAAACTAATATGAAAAGTTGTTATTCTAAAAATCTTCATCTACTTGTATATTAAAGTTATACCGGCAAGAATTAGTCTTTATGTAGAAAACTAGGATTTACATCCAGCCTTACTGACTAGTGATTTAAATCAAATCCACCCTGGTATTTAGTAGAAATTCATTGCTCTGTTAAATCTGCATACTATTTTATTGTATTGATTACAGCCGATTCCACTTGCTATAGGCTGCTGTACATTGCAGCCCACTTTACTGTTCTTCTATAAATCAGCGTGCCTTGCGAGCACAAAGACATTGTTGCACAGTTACACTCCTAACAGCAATAATGAGTTGTATCAGGTCAGTAATAAGTTGCAGTAGGAAGTGAAAGTGTGAGGGATACGGTTTACTGAATAAAAGTATATTTTAAGTACTTTACCTTACCAAACAAGCTAACCTCAGTCAAAAGCTAGCCACATGGGAACATTTAGTTTGCTATTACAATGATCCTCCTATACTTTCATCTCATCTCTTGTGTTTTGTATTTCTGTTATTCTTTATTGGTTAATGAAACACTAGTCTACTCTTCTGTCACCAGGTACCAACGAAAATACAGTTGTAGGGAAACAAGATTCTGGCCTTGAATAACGTATGATATTACCTTCCTGGAAGTTGTGAGCACCATCTGGCAGTGCAAGAAACGGCAGGTACTTCCATTCTTCTGGTAAAATGTTGCTGTCATGTCCTTCCGCAGGGATCAAGGGTGGATAAGAGAACTCAACCTGCACCAAAAACATGATACAGGAAAAAAATGAGTCATGCCATTGAGCGTTTGTTAATTCAAAGATATTATTATTATACAGTATTTATAAAGCGCCAATAGTTCACTCAGCGCTGTACATTACAAAGGGGGACAGAACATGTGACAGAACAATAACAATACAATGCAAAACATGAGGGGATCGAGGGCCCTGCTCTTGGAGCTTACAATCTAGGAGGGAGGGGATGGTGGCACAGGAGGAGATAGCTGTGGGGGGATGGGGGTGGTAGGAAGAGTGGAGGAGGTCGGCAAGTTAGCAGGGGGTGGGGTAGGCTTCCCTGAAGAGGTGGGTTTTCAGGGTGCGCCTAAAGGAGAGGAGAGTAGGTGATAATCTGATGGGTTGGGGCAGGGAGTTCCAGAGGATGGGTGACGCCCTGGAGAAGTCCTGGAGGCGGGCATGGGAGGAGGAGACCAGGGAACTAGAGAGAAGGAGGTCTTGTGAGGAGCGGAGTGTGCGTGTTGGGGGTACTTGGATATTAGGTCGGTGATGTAGTTCGGGGCAGTATGGTGGACGGCTTTGTACGTCAGTGTTAGGATTTTGAATTTGATCCGTTTGCCAATCCCTCCACTGGCTTCCGATTGCACGAGGGGGGTGGCGGACACTGAGTGGAGGCCAGTGGAGGGATTGGCAGAGGGGGGTGGCGGACACTGAGTGGAGGTCAGTGGCGGGATTGGCAGAGAGGGGGGTGGCGGACACTGAGTGGAGGTCAGTGGAGGGATTGGCAGGGGGGTGGAGGACACTGAGTGGAGGTCAGTGGCGGGATTGGCAGAGGGGGGTGGCGGAAACGGAGCGGTTGGTAAGGTGAAATGAGCCATATTCAGGATGGACTGAAGCGGGGATAGCCAGCGGCGAGGCAGGCCAGTGAGGAGGGAGTTGCAGTAGTCGAGTCGTGATATGATGAGGGAGTGGATGAGCTGTTTAGTGGTTTCTGGGGTTAGGAACGTGCGGATTTTGGCGATGTTGGAGGTGGAGTCTGCATGAGTTAGTTAAAGATTGGACTTGGGGCTGGAAGGCGAGGTTGGAGATATAAAAAATACTAAAGGAATAAATACCAATGTTTGACTTCACTTATGCTTAGGTTCATTGTGAGCTGTAGTACTTTAACCCCTTCACGCCTGAGGGTAAAACAAATCTTAACGTCTAAGTAAAATGTTACAACTGACGTGTTAGTAAAACCGTACATATCACCACAACTACTCTGTACATCCAGGTGAATTATACCGGTTTTTTTCTGGACAAATTGGGCTTTCATGTGGTGGTAAATGGTAATAGATATGCCTTTTTTTTTTATTATTCTCAAAAGGAAAACGGTCCTAAAATAATAAAAAAAAAAATTTTTTTTTTAATTTCGCTGTTTCTTGTTACCACCATAACCTACCACTAAAGAACAACCCAAAATAAATTTTCCAGCTCTCGATGATTGCAGCGATACCATCTATGTGTATGTTATTTGTACCTGTACTACAGCCCAGAAACAATAGTGCATTTTGTTTTTTTTTTACCTAAAAACACACTAGCCAATCAGAGGCTATCACAGCGATCATGTGACCCAGAACCGGGAGTCCTGGGTCCCGATCGTGGCTCTCCGTGACACCCCGGTCTTTGTGCTGGGAGCGCGCTGTGAGGTGCGCTCTCAGCACAAACACAGATATGCAAATATGTGGCCCTATGGAAAAAAGCCGCGTATTTGTGTGATGTCGGCGCCAAGGGGTTAAAATGTAATGTATCCACACATTCCCAATTTATAGGGTAATATGAAGTTGTACAAATTGTAGGACACCATTTAGAGAATATACTTTAAAATAAAGTTACATTTGCCACTTAAACTGATATTAAAAACTCAAGTTATTTATTTTAACAACAAACATGTCATACTAACCTGCTCTGTACAGTGGTTTTGCACAGAGCAGCCCCGATCCTCCTCTTCTCCAGTCTCCTGCTGCTGCTCCTGGCTGCTCCCCCCTACTGTGTGCCCCCATAGTAGGCAGCTTACTCTGGGGGCACACATTCATGCTCGCTTCCCAGCCCTGCTCTGTGTTAAAGGCTACGTTCACACTAGCCTTGTGTGCAGGCGGCAGAGAGGCGTTTGGGAAGCGTTTTTACCGCTTCCCAAACGCCGCTGCCAACTCTGCACATTACAGCACATGGTGCTGTTCTAACAGGAGCGTTTGCGTCGCGTTGCGTCGCGGCAAAACGGACGCCTCTGGTCGAGTCAGGAGGCTTTGAAGCCTCCTATTCTCGTCTATGGTGCCGCTCCGCAAACGCCCAGCCGGTTGCGACGCGCGTTTTGCGGGGCGTTTGCGGAGCGGTAACACCACTCAAACTGCATTATAGGCGTTTGTGGGGCGTTATTAACGCTCGGCAAACGCCTAGCAACCGCCGCTAAACCGCGCATGCGGAGCGTTTGCGGAGCGTTAAAAACGCTCCGCAAACACCGGACCAACGCTTGCCAAACGCTATAGGGGCGTTTGGCAAGCGTTGGCAAAACAGCCTAGTGTGAACGAGCCCTAAGACACACAGAGCGCCTCTCAGCCCTACCCCCTGCTAGCTCCTCACTGGCTGTGTGACAGCAGTGGTAGGCAATGGATCAGCCAATGAGGAGAGGGAAACCCATGAGAGCCGACAGCAATGGAATAAGATCGGGCTCGGGTAAGTAGTGTGGGGGGGGGGGGGGGGAAGCAACAGAAAACGTTCAGCCTCCAAAGCCACTTTAAAGTGAAACTCCAAAGAGTTACAAAAACCACAAAATCCTGCAGTTATGTATCAAGCAGAGGAAAAAGTGGACCAGGACTGAAAAAGGGAATGTTTTCTACTCTATAAGCAGCATCTAGAAATACTAGTTGTGTCAAATGAGTACCCTGAAAATGTAACTGTCTTGAAAAAATGCTTTACGACATGTGCCTGGAGACTCTCAGCTGTATATCTGAAGTGACAGACTATCTGGAGGTGCTGTCTCAAACGGTCAATTGACATTTGAAGTGAGATGCTGTTACTGTGCTGCTCGCAATTCTCCCCGGAACTGATGCAAAGAAAGCGGTACGTGAGGACCTACAGGACCCGTGAGGACCCGCAGTGACCGTCAGTCACCGGCTCCTTGCTCTGTCCCTCCTGCACTCTCTCTAGCGCTGGGCTGTAGGGGGGTGGGAGGAGCTGGCTCAGGCTCTCAGCAGCATGCCTGAATGATGTCAGCCAGCAGCGGACTTTTACCCGCTGTCAGCGAACGGGTCACAGGAGTGCAGAATAACTGCACTACTGTGATCACAGGAAGTACAGCCAAAATAGCTTTGGTTATATTAACATTTGCACCCGGCCCATGGCCAAATGCATCGCAAAAATGAATTACCTTTCCGGGAGGACGTACATGCGCAGTTCGCGCGCTTGCAGAGCAGCGGCGCGATCTGTCACACGTCCAATGACAGATCTGAGTACCGGCCCCCGTTGCCGATACCATGTGACCTGCTGTGACCAATCACAGCAGGTCACATGACAGTTGTTTACAATGGATGGCTTCATTCATGCCATCCATTGTATACTAGTGTCTAGCTGTGAATGGTCACAGGGATCACATGCACATGTCATGTGATTAGCTGTGGCCAAATCACAGCTAAGCACAAAAAAAAAAAAAAAAAAAACCTGAATGAATCGATGTCATTCAGGTAAATGCTTGCTTATAGCAAAGTAATTCTTTGCTATAAGCAAATTATGTAAAAAAAAAAAAAATATTGATCACTTCCCCAAAGTAGTACAATGTTACTATGGTAACATTGTACTACGTTGGTCATAGTGAAATATGAAAAAAAATCTTAAAAAATAAAAAAAAAATTTAATAAAAAAATAAAAAAATAAATAAATAAATATTTTTTTTCCACACTGATCCCTAATCACCGCCATGCCAGTTATATGATGATGCTGTACTGCACTGGTGACAGTATGTAAAAAAAAAAAAAAAAATAGTGAAACTAATTTTTTTTATTTTTTCATTTTCCGAAAAAATGACAAAAAAAATACAACTTCAAAAAAAACTCGCCATTCCTCTTATGAAGTACGTCGGACTGTCTACTCTGCAAAAAAGGGGTCGTTTCCTGACATTTGGGGGATATCTGTACTGTACTGACATTTGGGGGATATCTGTACTGTTCTGACATTCTTGGACCTCAAGAAATTAGATTGGCGTCAGTACTTCAGGATTGATCAATATTCAGATCTATACCATAGTTTGTGAACTCTATAACTTTCCTACAAACTAAATAATACATCCTAATTTGGGTTATTTTCACCAAAGACATGTAGCAGAATACATCTCGGCCTAAATTTATGAAGAACAATTATTTATTTGCAAACTTTTATAACAGAAACAAAGAAAAACATGTTTTTTTTTTTTCCAAATTTTCAGTCTTTTTTGTTAATTTAGCAAAAAATAAAAACCCCAGCGATGATTAAATACCACCAAAAGAAAGCTCTAAGCTCTAGTTGTGTGAAGAAAATGATAAAATTTTAGTTTGGGTACAATGTTGTATGACTGCGCAATTGTCATTCAAAGTGTGAGAGCGCTGAAACCTGAAAAATGGCCTGGGCAGGAGGGGGAAAATTGCCCGGTATTGAAATGGTTAAGCTGGCCATAGATGGATTGAAATTCGGCCTATTCAGCAGGTCTGGGCAAATATTGATCAATCTATGGCTGTTTTTGATCAACAGAAGTCGATCTAATGATTTAATTCTATCAAACAGGAATGTGGAAAATTTTTAATTTGATGAGCGGCTGCAGCACCCTTGATCCACCTCACTTGTGTGGATGGGGTAATATGCAAAATGTTTTTTTTTTTTGATCAGCCAGCAAAAAAAATAAAAAAATTGACCTGTCTATGGGGAGCCTTAAATCTGAACTCTGGGTAACTGAAAAAGCTACCCTTTGGAGTAGGGCTTCCCCGTAATGGTAATTGTTTGTTTTTCCCTAAGGTACAAAGAGAGAAAACAAAAAAAACAAAAAGACTAACAAATTATCCCTCAATCCCTCGGCAGCTGACGCTCACCTCTTCTTCCCACTCTCGGGATTTTGGACAGGCCCATGGCGTTCTCACGTACAGTGCAGGACCTGCAGTCATGCATTGTAAGGGAGAACATCACAGCCATGATTGCTGGCTGGAGCGCTCTTAGGCTACGTTCACACTAGCCTTGTGTGCAGGCGGCAGAGAGGCGTTTGGGAAGCGTTTTTTACCGCTTCCCAAACGCCTCTGCCAATTCTGCACATTACAGCACATGGTGCTGTTCTAACGGGAGCGTTTGCGTTGCGTCGCGGCAAAACGGACGCCTCTGGACGAGTCAGGAGGCTTTGAAGCCTCCTATTCTCGTCTATGGTGCCGCTCCGCAAACGCCCGGCCGGCGTTTGCGACGCGGTTGCGGGGCGGTTGCGGGGCGTTTGCGGAGCGGTAACACCACTCAAACTGCATTATAGGCATTTGTGGGGCGTTATTAACGCTCGGCAAACGCCTAGCAACCGCCGCTAAACCGCGCATGCGGCGCTTGCGGAGCGTTAAAAAACGCTCCGCAAACGCCGGACCAACGCTTGCCAAACGCTATAGGGGCGTTTGGCAAGCATTGGCAAAACAGCCTAGTGTGAACGAGCCCTTACTCATTCATTGAGACCTCTTAGCGAAAGACTATCACTACCATTATCATCACAATCCTTCATAGTTATGTAGGGGACACGGACAGCACATGAATATAGAGATCTGTGTGCGCGCTCCACATTTAAATCTTTTATGAACTTGGTATTACATTTTAGGGTCATTTTAAAGTCTTCCGTAACAAAAGCAAAAAGGTTTGTGGTTTTAACTGCACAAAGAAATGCGCAATTTCATGTTGGACACGTGTTTTACACCCAAGGAAACTAAATACACAACAAGCACACAGCATGGCATGCAGCAGGTCACAGAGAATGTGAGTACTTGAGCACAATAAGTCGAGACAAAGAGTCCTGTGCTCTGACAGGTGGAAATGAGCCTGATGGCCTTTCCACCTGTTGGCAATTACAGACCCCTGGGAACTTTTCCCCTAGCGCAGCAAGGTCTTGAAATGCCTAAGGCTGGCCATACACTATCCAATTTCTGCCCAATTTCCTTTAGATTTACCTTCAACTGTGTAGTGCAAGAGCCTGCCTAATTGGATACAATTAAAAGTGTTGTTAGGTTTGACCTCCTATTATATGGTTTTTGGTAAATCTAAACCAAAAATCTCAAGAAAATTGTATAATGCATGGCCAGCCTAATGCAGGCCATAGACAGGGAGAAAACCGGCTGTTTTTTTTAAACAAAAAAAAATGAAAAATCGGTCGTTCAATAGGCAGACGTTACCACCAACAGTAAAAAAAGAAGAAAAAAAAAACGGCCGATTTTTCATTTTTTTGTTTAAAAAACAGCCGGTTTTCTCCCTGTCTATGGCCTGCATTAGGCTGGCCATGCATTATACAATTTTCTTGAGATTTTTGGTTTAGATTTACCAAAAACCATATAATAGGAGGTCAAACCTAACATTTAAATACTTCTGTCCCTGCAGAGAACCCCGCTATTATATTTGACAGTAAAAAGTATTGCGGTTGCAACATTGTATCTATTTGTATCCATTTCGGATACAGATGGTTTTTCGGATACAAATAGATACATTGTTGCAACCGCAATACTTTTTCATGTCAAATATAATGGCGGACTGGAATTCTTCCTCTTTTTCTTTTAGGTCATGGCTCATGCGCAGATTTTTTTGCCGTGAAAATCGACTGATCGGCAAAATCGGCCGATTTTTTTCCAACTTTACCGATCAAAAAAATCTGACAAAATCCAGAAAAACGGCCGACCCATTAACGGTGCGAAAATCAGCCGATTTTTTTTTTTTTTCGGCTGACAAATCGGCCGATTTTCAACCATCTATGGCCTGCATAAGGCACACCTTTGTGATAAGAAAAAGTTAATACAAAAGGAATTCTACAATATGCAAGAATCCGTCTACAGCAGGGCTCAAATCCAAATATACGGAAATGTATTGCTTTTACTACAGTAATGACAGCGGTGTTGTAAATCTAGTTTGACGAGGTTAGAACCCTGAGCAGAGAATTCTTCCCAAGAATCAACACTAATGTTGCCACAACTGTACTTTACATGTTTATATGATGGAGATTCGAAGAGGAGTACTAGAAAGTCTGTATCGTAAGTAGGTTCATAAGTGCACAGAGACCATACAGTATGTAACAACCCAAATAGGTGCATGTACTAATATTAAATACTCATAGGCGAAGTACAAAATGGGTTGCAAATTGCCAAAAATGAATAATTCAAGAAAGAAACATAACATAACGCATATAACCAAAAGTTGTGCAGTAAACAGGCTTAGGAACAAACAACTGCAAATCCAAATCAAACTATGTCCTTTCTTGCACAATACAATGCAGGAACCAGTCACAACCGCTGAGTGCCGGTTTACATATATGCGGATTGGATGCGGTTTGAACTGTATCCAATCCGCATGACATGAAACAACATCGCTTCCTATGGTGCCTGTTCACATATGTCCGAGGCATTGATGGTGCGGATTCAGTGCTGTTTGAAGAGTCATGTCCGATTTCTGTGCAGTGCGGCCCGGTACAGATGCGGATTACAGGCTATTGACTTCTATGGGAACAGTTTCAAAAACTGCATATGTGTGAACAGGATAATCCTGACCTGAACCTGATGTAAACCTGACATGAACCGGGGAACAACTACTGTATCAATTAGCTGCGAAACCTGATCTTCAATCCGAACCACACATGTGTGAATCAGCTCTGAGGTGTCGGTGTTGCACATGGGTGTAGTACCGGATATACTAGTCCTAGCTGCGGGGGTTTTGCAACCAGACTTGGATAAAAAGGTACCTTCCCATTCTAAAATCTGCACTCCTCAACTAAGCTCATTACCAATTAAAACGCCTTAAACTGGTTTTGGATGGAATTTTTTTTTTTCTAATCAGTCAGCTGGTTCCCTCACCCACACAAGTGAGGTAGGTAGAGGAAGGTTACCACTGCAACCCAAGCTAAACAAACATGTCTGCCACTATTGGGCTTTATTATATGGGGGTTTATGTGATTAGTAGTTTACACAAGAAAGTTAGGAATCATTTTTTTTTATGTCCACTCACAGACTGGCAGGGGCACTGCATTTTTGGCAAGATCAACAAGTTGTTTCTGTAGCTTTTTTCTCCACTTGCTGTGGTGGGCAGACCGGGACTCTCAGACACATTCAACAACATGTACAGGCCTAGTGTACCCACCCACATTCACTACAATTCGCTGTGGTTGATGGGAACTGTAGTTTCCTCTTACTGCTGAGAGAGGAGAGGATATGATGTAATCCCTGCGGTTACACCTCCTCCTTGGCAGAGCAGATGCTGTTATCTTTTGAATTACAGAGATGAGATCATTAAAAAAAAAAAAAAACAAAAAAAAAAAACAAAACAAAAACACAAAATCACTTTTTTTTTCTCCTAAATGCTAAAGATTTTCAACATTTATTAACTGTTAAGTGTTTTGTGTAGGAGGGGGTGTACTAATGATAGGTGTGATTATCTAAAGATAGTTTTCTACTTAACCACTTCCCGACCGGCTGTTGTATATAAACAGCTGGACGGTGGCAGTGCAAAGTCGGGTGGTCGTTTATAAACGGCCTCCCCGCACCCTGCTTGTGCGCGCTCCCTGGGAGCGAGCAGCACCGCAATTCGGTGCCCGCTGTATCCTTCGGACAGAGTGAACCACCGATCGTCGGACGGGACCTCTGTATGAGGTCCCGATCATGTGATCGCTGATTGGCCAATCAGTGATCAAATGCAAAGTAGTAAGCAAGATGTCGCTTGTGACATCATTGCTTACTACGTGTGAAATGTGAATGATCACAGAGGCCACATGGTACAAGGCTATTCACAACAGCCTTGTACCATGTGACAAGCTGTGACCAATCACAGCTCACTAAGTATTTCTCAATGACTGCAAGAATGCAGACAGAGAGAAAGAAATGATTGCTTTTACATCCTATATGGGTGTAAAAGCAATCAGTGTAAAAAAAAAAATCTTCATCACCCCCCACAAGTAGTACAGTGTCACCATGGTGACACTGTACTGCTAGGGTGACAGTATGTAAAAAATAAAAAAAATTAAAAATTATAAAAAAATTAAATAAAAATGTAAAAAAAAAGTTTAAAAATTATAATTTTTGGTTATAAACTAATTTAGATTTTTTTTTTTTACTAAAAAGATAACGGAATACATTTTGGCCAAGATTTATGATGAAATATTATTTATTTGCAAAATTTTATTAAAAAACAACTTTTTTCAAAATTTTTGGACTTTTCATTTACATAGCAAAAAAAAATAAAAATCCCAGCGGTGAATAAATACCACCAAAATAAAGCTTTGTCAAAAAAAAAAAAAAAAAAAAGGTAAAAAATTCATTTGGGTACAGTGTTGCATGACCGTGCAATTGTCAAAGTGTGATAGCGCTGAAAGCCGAAAATTGCCCTGGACAGGAAGGGGGTAAAAGTGTCCGGACTGGAAGTGGTTAAGATACATTAATAATTTAGTTTATTCAGCATGAAATGGAGCTTATTTATGTAGCAGGAGGCTGTATATTCTACAATATTTATGGTAAACGCATTCAATGACTCCAAGCTCTGCAAGCTGAGATAACATGCGTTGCATTGATGGATTCACACAATTTCACAGTAACAATGAAAAAAAAAACATGAAATAAAAGAATTTGAGTAGTAAAACTATGTGTGATTAACCTAAAATCGGTTCTGATATCGCCGTTTTACTAATCTGACAGCTTATTATTCAAAAAAAGTTGTTTCAGTGGCACATCACCAGCCGTCCCATTAAAGTGAATGGGACTGTCGGTGAGTCAACAGCGGGTCAGAGATAACAGTTGCTCTTTTAACCGCCTCCTGCCCGCCATATAAGGAAATGACGGACAGGAGGCAGTTCTCTCGTTCTGGGAGGATGTCATACGACGTCCTCCAACTTTAACCGCACATGCGCACCCCTGGGGGCCACAGCAAGGCGATCGGTGGTGCGCTGTGTCCCTGGGACACAGGGGATCACCGATCAGTGGAAAGAGCCGATGACGTCGGCTCTGTCATGTGATCAGCTGTGTCCAATCATGGTTATCGGCATTCCTCTCCTCACGAGCTGTCACTCTGACAGCTCGTGAGGAGCGGAGAGCCGGTAATCGGCATTTCTCAGAGGGGACATGTACACTGATCATTGGGGCACTGATGGTCAGGGTACCCCATCAGTGCCACATATCAGTGCCCATCTGATCTGTCTTTCAGCGCTGCCAGTCAGTGCTGCCTATCAGTGCCATATATGAGTGTTGCCTTTCAGTGCCCATCAGTGATGCCTGTCAATGCCCATCAGTGCCACCTACCAGTGCCCATCAGTGCAGCCCATTAGTGCCCATCAGTGCAGCCTCATTAGCGCACATCATTGAAGGAGAAAAATCACTTATTTACAAAATTTAACAGAAACAAAGAAAAAAATTTTTTTTTTTCAAAATTTTCAGTTGTTTTTGGTTTAGCAAAAAAAATAAAAAACCCAGAGGTGATTAAATACCACCAAAAGAAAGCTAGATCTGGCTCAAAAAAAATGATAAAAATTTAATATGAGTACAATGTTGCATGACGGCGCAATTGGCAAAGTACGACGGCGCTGAAAATTGGCCTGGGCAGGAAGGGGGTAAAAGTGCCCGGTAGGTAAGTGATTAAAAATTACGATTTAAAGCGAGCCTTTTCACTAGTAATTTAAAACATGCTTTAAATCAACTTGATATAAATCCAATCCACCCGGCACTGCTCTATGTACACTACAAATTCCCATCGTCCACATCAGGAGCAAACAAGGGAGGATGACTACATCCCTACATACAGTGGGACCACGGAGAACAAATACAACCACCCTCCACTAGGAAGTCGATTACAGCAGCAAAAAAAAGGAATTTGAAGCAGCCTGGGAGCAATAGAGATACTTTCTGAGTTAGGAACACATACGTGGATAGAATTTTTTTTTAACCGCAGTTTAGTGTCATTCTAAGTTCAGCACACAGGTTACATGACAAGCATCCGGAAGTCGGCATTTCAAGGAGTTAAACTGTCAAGAGAAACTAGAAGCTCAGGAAGAGAATTCCAAGAATCATCATTGAATTAATTAGTTACAGCAGACACAAAAGAACAACATCCGGACTGCTGAATGCAGCATTGTTTGCTTCTTCTGTCATAGCTATAATATCATCTGTAATTAGGTAACAAATGATTAATACATGGATGTGATCCTAACGCCTGTACTATTCCCTTTATCACAGTGGTTCTCAACCTGTGGATCGCGACCCCTTTGGGGGTCGAACGACCCTTTCACAGGGGTCCCCTAAGACCATCAGAAAACACATATTTCCGATGTGTAAAGAGCAGCCACTGTGTTGAAAGCAGCTACTCTGTTAAAAGCAGCTACTGTGTTGAAAGCAGCTACTGTGTTGAAAGCAGCTACTGTGTTGAAAGCAGCTACTGTGTTGAAAGCAGCTACTGTGTTGAAAGCAGCTACTGTGTTGAAAGCAGCTACTGTGTTGAAAGCAGCTACTGTGTTGAAAGCAGCTACTGTGTTGAAAGCAGCTACTGTGTTGAAAGCAGCTACTGTGTTGAAAGCAGCTACTGTGTTGAAAGCAGCTACTGTGTTGAAAGCAGCTACTGTGTTGAAAGCAGCTACTGTGTTGAAAGCAGCTACTGTGTTGAAAGCAGCTACTGTGTTGAAAGCAGCTACTGTGTTGAAAGCAGCTACTGTGTTGAAAGCAGCTACTGTGTTGAAAGCAGCAGTATTGGAGGTAAAACGACACTCATGAATTATAATTACTGGGTAAATAATTTTATGGTTGGGGGTCACCACAACATGAGGAACTGTATTAAAGGGTCACGGCATTAGGAAGGTTGAGAACCACTGCTTTATCAGAACAACCACCGCAAATATCCAGGATCAAATTCCCACATGCATGATCTGTGTGATAAAGCTACCAGACAGGTGACTACACACTCCAGAATGACAAAACAGATAGGTAAACAAAGTAGTTCCAGCCTGAAGAAAAAAAACATTGATGATTCAACAAAAGAACATTCAATTACAAATTATGTTCATGTGATAAAACATACGATACTTTAGTAATCAGCTTCACATCTCCTTTAACCACTTCCAGTCCGGACACTTCCCCCCCCCCCCCCCCCCCTTCCAGACCGGACACTTTCCCCCCCTTCCAGTCCGGACACTTTCCCCCCCTTCCAGTCCGGACACTTTCCCCCCCTTCCAGTCCGGACACTTTCCCCCCCTTCCAGTCCGGACACTTTCCCCCCCTTCCAGTCAGGACACTTTTCCCCCCCTTCCAGTCAGGATACTTTCCCCCCCTTCCAGTCAGGACACTTTCCCCCCCTTCCAGTCAGGACACTTTCCCCCCCTTCCAGTCAGGACACTTTCCCCCCCTTCCAGTCAGGACACTTTCCCCCCCTTCCAGTCCGGACACTTTTACCCCCTTCCTGTCCAGGGCAATTTTCAGCTTTCAGCGCTATCACACTTTGAATGACAATTGCGCGGTCATGCAACACTGTACCCATATGAATTTTTTTTACCATTTTTTTTTTAAGACAGATAAAGCTTTATTTTGGTGGTATTTATTCACCGCTGGGATTTTTATTTTTTTTTGCTATGTAAATTAAAATGTCCAAAAATTAAAAAAAAAAAAAAAAAAAAAGTGTTTCTTATAAAATTTTGCAAATAAATAATCTTTCATCATAAATCTTGACCAAAATTTATTCCGTTATATTTTTAGTAAAAAAAAAAAAAAAGCCAAATTAGTTTCTAACCAAAAATTATAATGTTAAAACATTTTTTTAACATATTTATTTTATTTTTTTATATTATTTATGTTTTTTTTTTTTTTTTAAACATACTGTCACCCTAGCAGTACAGTGGGGGGTGATGAAGATTTTTTTTTTTTTTTTTTTTACAGTGATTGCTTTTACACCCATATAGGATGTAAAAGCAATCATTTCTCTTTCTCTCTGTCTGCATTCTTGCACTCATTGAGAACTACTGAGTGAGCTGTGCACATCGCTGGATGGGGGGGGGGGGGGGGGGGGGGGGGGGGGGGGGGGGGGGGGGGGGAGTTGAGGTTGGGGCTTCCATCTTCATCTGGTCTTCCTTTCCAGGTTCGCGGGCTGTGGCCACGATGACGCGTCTGTGCATGTGCCCGAGAGTCACCTTTTCTAGCACAGATCTGAAGGAATGGTACGGGTATGCCGTTTCTTCAGAGTGCACGTGCCAGTGATGCTACACAGTAAATACGGGTGTGCCTGGTTTTACGAATGTAATGCGTTCTCTGAGACGTTTCGTATTGTGAAAAATTCGTAAAACCGAAACACGGTTTCCTATAGGGATGCATTGAAAACCAGTTAATCTGTTCCGGAGGTCAGAAAAAAAGGTAAAAAAAAAAAAAAAAGTCGCTGTCACTATAGGTCAGTGCCGGTTTTTAAATGTAAATACCATTTTGTTTTTCTTCACTATAGCTCAGAGCATCAGCTGTCACTTTCCCCCCAGCTAAAAGAAAAAAAAAAAAAAAGGTTCCTTTTCATTTATTTCCCTGAGTTAAAAGAAACAATGTTTCCTTTTAGTTATTTTCTGAGATAAAAGAAAAAGTATCCTTTAGCTCTAGGGAAAGTGACAGCTAATTCTGTAAGCTATAGTG